CAATCGGTACATAGCCAATGGTGCCGATAACAGCGTCTTTGCGATACAACCATGCTTTGTAATAGATAATGTAGTAAAAATGATAGTTAAACATTTTCAGACAGAATTAAAGCTGACTTGTTGCGATAGAACTGCAAATGTAGCACAATTGAAAAAAAAAAGAATTTAGAAAAGGAAAAAAATGGTTAAAAAATAATAATCGAAATAGCACAACCCCTAATCGAATCGAATCGAATTCGTTCTTGCTCACTGAAACCTAAAATTTTGAATACTTTTACAGAACGTTTCCGATTCGGTGTCTATCGCACAAAAATTGGCCAATGACTAAAAATCAGATTTACCACAAAAATTGACTAGATAAGAATATTTTGCTAGAAATGGAGCGAACGACCCCAAAGAAAACGCCAAGAAAACTGAAATTGTTGTCGCAAAACACGCACTTTAAAAATGAATATGGTTTCGGTGTCCGAATTCCGTGAAGCCAATTAACGACTTGCGTCTATCACGCGCGTAATTGAATTTTCCTCCACCCAATGTCTAACTATCAGTTCACTGTAATCACGACACAGAATTGCACTTGTTTCAATCGAGACGATTCAGGTGTCAATAAGATAGAAAAATTGTTTGCGCTATCTTTTTCATATAGAAATTTAGTGGTAAAGACACGAATATCGATCGATCACACACAACACGAATGATATCCATTGAACAAAATTTTTGCACTCAATTAGAGCGGTCAATCATGAAAAACGGCCAGATCTTGATTGCTAAATCAATAACACCATAAAATTTGCAATAGAAACTGTTTGCAAAGTTTTGTCCGATAGTATTTCGACAAGAATTGTTTTTCAGACTGAAGTGGCATCGGTATGCAATGCACCCTCTTAAATGCCACTACATTTTCCATTTTTTTTCTTCACTTTTGCCACACTATAACTGGTTAATTGGTTGTGTCTATGTGTACGTAATGATCACAGCTATTATGATAAGTTCATGTTTTAACTGATAACATATCAATCAGGTCTACCGTGACAAATTGCATAGAAACCGTTTACATTCGCACCGCTAAAAATCACATACATTGCGTTTTAAAATTCGCACAGTTCACACGAAAAGACAGTACAGAGTACAAGCAATTGAGATAAGGAAGAAAATTGTCGATTGTACTTATCACAAATTCGCTGTTTCTAATCGACTTTGCTAGAAGAAAAAAAAAATAGAATCGTAAGAAGTTGGACAAATGCGTCGTATCAGGTAACGAATTTGCTTTTGTTCTGTTGTAAGTGCTGACACACGCTTCGTATGTTTTTGCTTTCTTGTGTGTTATTCATTAAAATATATCAATGTGTCGAACCAATTTCGAAGCTTTTTACTGTTTTTGTTTTTATTCTCACCATTGAATTACAGACAAAGGCGGCAACAACTACAATAACAAACACGCTTCGTTAAAACTCTAGGTCGATTGTAGAGCTTCACATTATTCCACTTGCAGTCGAGGTGAAAGTATTAAATTTTCGGTGTCTCATTGTTGGAAAGAAAACGAACGAACACAGTGTGGTTATTTTTTATTCATTTGAAATGTCAGCGAAACGTAAGTCAGTGATAATTATTGGATCGGGAGCGGGTGGTACGTCGTTGGCTGCTCGTTTGGCGCATCGAGGATTCGATGTGACGGTTTATGAAAAAAACGATTTCATTGGTGGACGTTTATCGTTGATCCACAAAAATGGGCATCGATTCGATCAAGGGCCATCGTTGTATTTGATGCCAAAATTGTTTGAGGAAACGTTCAGTGATCTCGGCGAAAAGGTGTCCGACCATTTGGATTTGCTGAAATGTGAAACCAATTATTTTGTTCATTTTCATGATGGTGACCAATTTGAGCTGAGCTGCGACTTGGCCAAGATGTGTGAACAACTGAAAAACTACGAGGGTGACGATGAACAAACTGTGTTGAGATTCATGGATTTTCTGAAAGAAACACACATCCATTACGAACGTAGTGTTGACATTTCACTCAGACGCAGCTTTCCGAATTGGTACGATGAATTTCAACTGAAGCACCTTCCTAATCTCTTCAAACTCCACTTGTGGGACACCGTTTACAATCGCACCAAAAAATTCTTCCTCAGCGACAAAATGCGCATAGCATTCACATTCCAATCGTGCGCCATTCAGTCTTATCTTATGTTTGTTTTCTTGTTGAAAACTACCTTGAAATGCATTTCTTGTTTTTTTATATGAAAAATCCCTATCTAGTATGTCTGTCACCTTATGACGCACCAGCTCCCTACAGTTTTCTCCCGTACGCCGAATTTGCCTTGGGAATTTTCTATCCACGTGGCGGATTCCATAAAGTGGTCGAAGAGCTGGGGAAAATCGCGACGAAAAAATTTGATGCGAAATTCGTATACAGTACGGGCATCGAAAAGATCATTGTCGATGAGAATCAGGTGGTCAAAGGTATTCGCTTGGAAAATGGCGAAGAAAAGTATGCAGATTTGGTCGTGTGTAATGCAGGTATTCGACGTCAATTGACGATTAAAAAAACGTTGAACTTTGAATAGATGGTTTTCTTTTTCGGATGACATTTGTAGTTTGATTTTTTTCTTCGAGTGCAAATCTCATTGTAAAAATAATTACATTTTAGATTTGGTTTACGCCTACAATAAACTATTGCCACCTACACCATACGGAAAAAGTTTGGGCGAAGACAGCCAATTCACGTCATCGTCGATTTCATTCTACTGGGGAATGAAACGAAAAATGCCAGAGTTTCATGTCCACAACATTTTCTTGGTCGAAGCGTACAGTCGCAGTTTCGATAACATTTTCAAGAGACACCTTTAGCTCGAAGATCCATCATTTTATATTAATGTTCCGTCGCGTATCGACCCACCAGGTACTTTTAAGTCGCAATAGCGATTATATTTTATCTATAAATAAAAATAATCACGTCAATTGACCTATTTATCGTTTTTCTATGAGTGCAGCTGCGCCTGAAGGTAAAGAGACACTTGTCGTGCTATTGCCTATCAGTCATATCACACCGGAGAATGAAAATCGCATCGATGAATTGTTGAAAATTGCACGAGCCAGAGTCATTAAAACCATTGAAGCGCGTTTGAAGATTAGCAATCTTGAGGAGCTCATCGAGACGGAAATAATCAATGATCCACGCACATGGCAAGCCAAATTCAATTTGTGGAAAGGATCTATTCTTGGACTGTCGCACAATATCACTCAAGTGTTGGCACTTCGACCAAAAATACGAAGTCATCTGTTCAAGAATTTGTACTTCGTTGGAGCTTCGACGCAACCAGGAACGGGCGTACCAATCGTTTTGGCCGGTGCCAAAATGGTTGAAATGGAAATCATGGAAGATGTTGGTATGATTGAACGTGTCGATGATAGACCCACAATTTTCTTTCAATATATCCTGTTTGTGCTCTTCATCATTGCGATTGCTTACTTGATTTCAAGTTTGTTTTAGATTTTCTAAATGGCTTGTTGTTGACAAATAATTAATCCTTAATTCGCACGAACTACTTCTTTTTCTTTCAATCCCAGTAATTACTTTGAACATGTATTCAGAAAGCCCAGTTTACATAGTATTTTATTAAATTCCATTTATTTTTTTGTAACAAATAATGTTCTTTTTGTATCCTGTTTTTTTCACATCAAATAAATGTCTATGTTGCATGAGAACAAAGGTGGTGTATATATGCTTGACTTTTAATCAGTTCTAAAGAGTGATTTTCACTTCAATAAAAAAAATCAGAGCTTAATTGAAGATAGACGATATATGTTGTGTGTGTATGTGAGAGACAGGTATGAGTTGTTATTATCAAAATTTTTATAGGATAAAAGAAAATAATTCCACAGAAAATAAATCTGCGATTGCGATGCAATTGGATTACATGCAATTTGACTGTGCTTTTGACGCAATTCCAAATTAGATTTAGACGTAAACAATCATCAAAGAAATTGGTGAAATTATTGGGTGGGTGAGAATTCAGTTGGTCTCAAGATGCGCGTGTGCATTTCCCTGATTAATGGAACGGTGTAGGCAACGCATTCATCCCAGCCAGGAGCACGCCAGGCAGATTCACGGCTTTCTTTACGGTCTTGCAGTGATTTGTAGCCTGAAAATAGGAATCATCGGCATTAACTTTAGTTTAATAAGCAAACCCATTGAATGCTGCAGATAATCCATGGATTATTTATCATATGTGCACATATTTGAATTTTAATTAACAAAAATGAAAGTATTTCAAAATGTGATTCACAATTTGTGAACTTACACCAAATGTGATGAACATTGTACAATCGGCCGATTTGCGAGAAGAATCCAGCAAATGGTACATCGTTTGCTTGACGATACTGAATGCCTCTGGCCCAATTGTTTCCCCATTCAATCATTGTGCCCGGTTTCAATCGATACGAACGCATTTCATAAATGTGCGATGGATCTCGCATTTTGATTTGAGGCCAGTATGAGAATTGCAACATGTATTGCAAGTGACGTGAACGCAACAAAACTCCACGCTCTTTTTCAAGTGCTTGATAGTCCTGTTGAAGTAAATCGAAATCAAAAGAAACAGAATTACAATCGAATTTTCGTAAAAAAGTGGCAATTTTTGGGCAAACAATTGTTTGCCTAAAGTAATTACTTTATCATTTTCTAGAATGCGATGAGCAGCATCGATTTTCTCAAAGCCTCCGGTGTATTTCCACAAGTGCAAACACTGATCCATATCACCCACATGAACCGTCCATGATCCCATCAAGTCGGACGAGATGTCATCTTTCTTCGAATGAATCAACGCAGTCGTCTTCTTACTATTAGAAAAATACGGAATTGATTTTGATTAGGCGAGATAACAATTCGATGGTGGCAATTCAACTGAAATTAACTACTTGACAATCATCATATCCAATGACGAACATACGAAAAAAATGTTGTTATTGAATCAATTGTTGATGCCCCGCCTTCTTATCTTAGTCTATCTCAATAAATACAGAAAAAATGAAGAGCAGCTCTTCTATAAATTACTGAACACTTAATTCTCATAGATTGATTCAACATGTAACACGTTGGGTTCGATGATAAGAAATTCTTATCTATGGTAACGAAATACGCGAATGCCATAAACAGTTGATTGGGTTCTAAAAAATAATTGTCTGTTGTGCGACAAACACTTACTGGAATTGCGGCTTTTGCTTCTCATTATCACTATCACTCTCTTCGTCCGGATCGGCTGCTCGTGGCTGCAATTTACACGGCGATGGCTCATGTTTGTAGTCATTTGACTGGCTATCGGTTGGTTGCGACTGGAAATTTAAGTAAATCAACGATTTCATCAATTAATAATTCGAAACAAGTTCCCTTTTTTAGTGATTTAAATTCGATTTTAAAACTTGAACGTACTTTACGCAGCTCAGTTGTCCACTAAATGCGTGCATAAACTCAAATGTTGTTTCATTTCTTTTCGAGTTCAATTACCTGCATCTTTTCATTCAATAAACAGGCCAACGAAATGATACTTTTTCAGGCAACAGAGCGATCGACAAACGACGTTTTGTACGGAAGAATGACCTATTTTGTTTTTGATGGACCAAAAATCTAATTAAAATTTATTATATTCATTGGAAAAATGTCACTGTGAAATTATCAAAAAAATGTATCATCAGAAAAAAATTGAACGCAACAATCTATCATAACCTCAATTTGACCAACTTACAATTATGATAAATCGGATCAGAGGTACGTAGTTTTGGGTTTTGGTTTAGATTATTCCGACTTTCTTCGGCCTAATCTTTTTCTTTTTTTCATTAAAGTTTGGTCTGCCAATGTTGGATGAAACTCTCTCTGGTAACGTGTTTCTAAAACTTCGAGATCTTCGAAAAGTTTTTGAATTTCTTTTAAATTAATATAAAAGCCCGTTGTCAATTGACCTTTGCCAATATGTGAATGACAATTGCCTATACACTGCCCTTTCGCTACTAACTGTCTGAAACAATTTTCGCAGAAATTACACTTAACCTTACGGTTGTAGTCACAATTGAATTTTTTATAATACGGAAATACTTCACGGCAACGTTTGCACACAAATGAATATTTTTCCATGTTAGATGAAAGTAACCATTATTTTTAAGATTGTAATTAATCTAGTTTATTTTGTACGCATAGGAAATAGGTCTATACTCGCCGAATGTTCTCACCAAAAGAACGTATTTCACCGACAAAATGGCTGACATACTTTGAGAAAATTCGCACAAGTCAAGTGTATGTGTTTCATAATCATGGCATCACTGTACGAGCGCAACACCAATTAAGCGGCGCAGTAGCGTGAGAGAGAGAGATGCAGCTATGACGCGCATAAATAAATCGTCGCTGACAACAGACAATTTGCATACACACACAGTAGTCAGTGTGACAATCAAGCCAGCCAGCAAGCCAAACAAACCAATCACAAACAAGCAAAAAAACAATACCAATACATTCAGAGAGTGGCCGTATAAAGTCGACCAGTCGCATTGTATACATTTTGTATTCGTGCATGTGAATAATCCGAAAATTCAATACGAAACGATTAAACGCATTCTTTCTCTCGTCAGCAGTTCTTCTAGAGAATATGCGCACATCGCATATTTTGCTGTGATTAACATTTTTTTTCGCTTGCCTCATTGATTGTTGCATCGTTTCGTTTTATTTTTAAATCAATAATTTGCTGCTCGGTTTGCATGATCGAAATTTGAATCCACTTGTGCACACAAAACAATAAAAAAAAAGCATGAAAACCAGAAGAGGAAAAAAACCTGCAACGCAAGTTAGTCAGCGTGCACCGAAAATTGAAACACAAGACGATGATGTGTTCGAAGATGTAGGTCGTCTACCGAAACTACGACCAAAATTGAAAACGGTGAAAAAAGAGCAGCCGCCATCACAAACGAAAACCACCTGTCAAGTCACACGTAGCAGAGCTGCTCGCAATAAACCACTCGCACTTATAACAAACCGTAAGTCTGACAACACGAAAAAACACGTGGATAAAAATTGTAACATGTCATCGCAAAATTCATTGGAAAGTAATGCCGAAACGGTCAATTTAATCGAATCAGAGGTACGTAGCTGTGGGTTTTGGTTTAGATTTTGCTACTTTTTTCATTTGGTCAGTGAATTTTTCTTATTGGCGATTCGACTGTTGATGTATTGATAGGGTGAAGATATTGATTTGGATTTGACGCCAAAGCGGAAAAATGGATCGAATTCGAATGAGGACAATACGAATCCGGCCAAACGCAAGAAGCCAAATGTGTTTATTGACATCACTGACGATGAAGATGACGATGACGATGACGATGAAGCTGTGACAGAGGCCAGCAACGCGAACGAACAAACACACGGTGATTCAAGTGGTCTACAGGTAACCTAACCAAACTTTTGACATGTCACCCGATTTTCAGCCAATTTTTGTTTCAATGCACACTTCAATTTAGTACGATGAGACTGCGTCAAATAAATCCAACGATGAGGTTGTTTCGATCGGTGCAACCATTTCGGAAACTGGCGATGAACTTGAAATCGAAGCTGAAATCGAACTCGAACCGACAATGACCGAAGTACATGAACCCACCGAGCCGTATGTATCGCCAGATGAGCCGAATGAACGGGAAACAGATGAATCCGAACCGAATGAACGGGAGTCGAATGAACGGGAGCCGAATGAGCCCAAAGAAGCTGAATTGGAACCAGCTGAAATCACCAACGAACCGACCGAAAGTTCAAACGAACCCCAAGAAAATTCCGATGATGAAAATGAACAAGATCAAGAAAATGGTGACGATGATGATTACATCATGATGGAATTGAATCCAGAAGATACTGATATGTTTGAAGGCGTCGAAGAGGATGAAGCATCTTCAAGGTAAGACATTTTTGTTGGGTTAGGAAATTGGAATGCATTAAAACTGATTGATGATTGAATTGCCATTTACTGATCGCGGAAATTATTAATTCAACAGCAGTCCAGCATTGCGACCGAAACAAACGACCAAAATGTCAATTCCGCGTTGGAAGCAAGCGGCTGTGACGGAAACTCCACCGCAAAAACCGAAAATTGTTCACACAGTCAACAGAACCATTACCATGAATGGTGAAGGTGATGCTCCGGCCAAAGAACCCGCGTCATTGGCACGAGCACCTTCATCAACACTCACCATATCGAAAACATCGGGTGAGCTAGGCCGACAGCCCAGAGTGCTGTTCAAAATACCACACGTACCGAAGACAACAAACAGCGCGACAAATGCCGTTGCTTCGAATGCTGTAAGTCGTGATCCAAGAATGTCCAAAGATGCTGTGCCAAGCACTGCTGCAGCACCGCCGACAATGACGACGGCGACGACGACGACAGCGGCAAGAGTTCAGAACCACATCGGAACGTCACGCGCTGCACCTTTGGCCAATAATACAGGCGGTCAACGTGTATCGGTCAAAGAAAGATTGGGCAATAAATACGCTGTCAAGTCGGGCAGCTCTTTTATAATACCCAACGATACGTCGGCTCCGAACAGTGTGCCAGCATCCACAGCTGCACCAGCTCAAAACCAACAGCCAAAACTGCCGGGTCTATACAGAAACACTTTTCGGTCCATGCAAGCGGCGGCCCATACTCAACAAACTCCACGGAACATTCAGAAGCCACATCCCGATATGTCTGCAGTCGTTCGCGAAGCTTTGGAAAGCAAACTGAACGCGGGCGAACTGAAAATGCCAGAATTTGCGGCGGGCTTACAGAAATATGAGCCATTGTTTTTCCGTTTGTTCGAGCGCACATGCCGGGTATTCATTCAAGACGATTGCAATTCAACCGAATGCCAATTTGAGCATAAATTGCCGGATCTGGATATCTTTCGTAAAACGCTCGACAAAATCGGCCCAAAGCGTGTGATGGAATTTTACGATGAATTCATATGTCGTAGTCAGAAGCTGTTTGATTACTATCTGGCGGAATTTTCGAAATTCTTCGGAAAACATTCAATGACAGCTAAACTTACACAAATGGTCGAAGATTGCATTGAACGCAAGGTAATTTTCCTTGTCAAATCATTTTACATTTGAAGAGAAAAGAAATTATGCAAAAACATGAACATTAATTACACATTTCTTCTTATTTCAGGTGCAATTCCACTTTATGAAAATCGTCGAAGGATTCATGCTAACCGGTAAACCATTTTCGAAAGCTCTCACCGATGTCGTTCAAGCGATCACCAGTCGTACAATGAAAACACAAAATGAACTCATCAAATTGGTGTTGCACACACGCAACGATTCGATTCGACCGTTTGTCGATTTCCTCGACGTGGTGTCCAAGCAGGAAAAGTTCAAGTTCTCCGCCGAATGGGTTAATCGCATGATGTTCATTCAACGTGAAATAAAATTAAAAGAGCTCAGCCATGTCATTTGGCGCATTATTAGCGAAAACATCGGCAACATGGACAAATATGACAACGACTTGGTGACCAAATTCATGGATGATTACGCACGCGGCCCATAAATTTTAATTGAAACACTTGCATACGAAAATATGCCACAAATATTCATATTTCTTTTTCGCTCATCACAAACTGGTACTCTTGATGAATACCAACCTTTTTTTTAAACATACAACATTCACCAAACCATTAGAATGGTTATAAATCTTGAATAGAAAAAAGAATAATCCCTCATTATGATCTGAAAATGTCACTTTTTCAATCTGCAAAATTTATCAATAAAAATTTGAACTGAAAAGAAAGAAAAGATGGAGTTTTATTGAGTTAAATGATGTGAGAATGGTACTTTGATGGGATAACCTGATACTGGAATCAAAATTGTGCAAAATTGAATCAATTTGAAATTAAGGTAAGCTCACGGAAGTCAAAATTGTATGATAAAATGTCAAAGACTCGGACAAGCCATTCAGAAGAATAAACGGTATTCTCAGACCATTGATTAGATTTCATAGCATGAAAATCGCAATAAGAAAAAGTCAAGTTGATTTTAATGATGATTTTCTGGTTTATTTTTGTTATTCATTCATATTTGTCCATTGTTGCAATTATAATAAATTTGTTATAGCTTTGTTAATTGAGTTTTGGTTACTTGTAAAAATCTATCGTTCCATTTTAAACGTGTGGGTGTGTGTGTTTGATTTTTATTATAATTTTTTTTGTTTCTTCTCTCGCCTTATTCAATGTTTGTATCAGAGCTGAAATAATTTGTGTTACATTTGATTCACAAATCTTAGGACAAAAAACAGAAAAAAAACTTCTTTTTTTTTTATTAAAAAGGTACCTTGAAAGAAAAGCGTTCAAAATTATTTTTACAAGACCTTTTCTCGTGAAAAGTAAATTAATAGCTACAAAAAAGAAACAAAATCGATTTGCATGATTTTGTTTGGCATTTGTTTTCATTACTAGCATGACAATAGTCGACCATTGAATTGCTAACGCGGTATTCTACATAAACGAATTCAATGCGATTAAAATGGTTCAATTTATACATTTTTTTCTTTGTTTTTCTCTCCAATTCTCAAAAAACACATTTAAAAAACACATTCCTATATGTTTTTGTTTCATTTTTATATCAATTAAATTAATACATCATTTTTCTCTATCTCTTTCACATAATGATTTGTTTTGTTGTATTTAATTTATTCAGTTCATACGTTGAAATGGGCGTGTATGTGTGTGTGTTTCCTTATCAATCTGTTTATTCGCAGAGACGTGCATGAAACTTGTCTATTTGTCGATTAATATTTGTTTTAAGTAAATTTTGGGATTTTCAATTTCTTCTTTGTCACAATCTACTTATGAAATAATAAATTTTACTTAAAATTATGTTGAATATTAATGTAAATCTCCTTCGCCTGCTTTTATCTTCTATTTTTTTTCTTGCATTTTTAAATAAGAGACGTCTTTCATGTTCGGCACAAGTGTCGCAATACGAACTATTACTCACAGAGAGGAAAAAAACCACCACAAGTTGGCTTGCATTAACGTCAGCTGAGAGGGGCTTTCCTAATATCGTAAATACCGAATGGAAAAATAAACTCTGATTTCGCAGTTGTGAATATATTTCTCATTTTTTTATGCATTTGGACAAGAAAATAAACGACAAAAAAGGAAAATGAATGAATGCATTTGTATGACTTTACGTTTAAAATGAGATGAAGTCTAAAGAAAAAATAAACACAAACAAAAAGACAACAGAAACAATTGATACAAATTGAGAAAATTCGAGGAATCGAATTTCGTAAATAAACAACAACAAAAAACGGTGTTAAATGAAAAGGAAAAATTGTAAAATTTTGTTCGGAATTTTGCAAATTGTCCGCATTTGTTTCGAATGCAATAATTTACGATTGACAAAAATATGATTACGAGTTAGTTGGGGAAGCAAAAGTTCATTCGAATTTGTAAAATTAATATATTTAGTGGTAACATTAACCATCACGAAGAATTTTTTTAAATTCATTTGGTGCAATGTCTTCCGTATGCGTGTGGAATTCCCGCTTTCGGTGGTCGATTGCTGCAAATGAGAATGACCATCACTTTTGCTGCCAATTGTAACATTGCGTTCTATCCCCCCTTTTTTTCACCAGGAAACAAAGGACCTGAATATTTCTGTCCGTATCATAGTCAAATCAGATCATTCCAATACACGAATCGAATTGATTGGATTCTCGTCAATAGAAATGTAAAATGCCATTAAGCGAAATGTGGCTACTATTCTGTCTCTCAAAATCCAGTACTTGTTTTCATTTAAAATCCACTTTTTTGGTTGTTTTGTTACATTTTTTGTTTATGCTACTATTTATGATCTATTCGCATAGATTAATGAAAAAAATTCTCTTCTTCTCAATCAAGACAATATGTTTGATTCTTTATCCTTTCTTTGTCAACATTTTGATTTGATACTTTTTTGAACTCATGTTGAATCATAAATAAATAAGGAATTGTTGATTCTTTTTATTTACTGTACAGTTAACGGATTCTAATTGTTTTTTTCTTCTTCTATCAGTATTACACTATGAATGTGGGAGGGTGAAAAGGTATCGTTTTTCGTGTGTGTGTGTGTTTGTGTATGTGTGGGTTTTTGTGGAGATTGTGTTGGTTTGAGGCTTAAAATGAATGTTGTTATTGGATATTTTTGTTTTGATGTCGGATTATTTTCGGTTTTTTTTCCATCTTGTTCATTAAGTTAATGCAATTCACTCTCAAAATCAATACTATTTCTGGCTTTCGTTTGCTATATATGGAAAACTTGTTGAACTATTGCTATGTGCTAGCGATATCATCGAACCCGATAAACTTCCCTCCTCATCTGGATAGCATTCTTTTGACGATTCGGCCAGTGCCAATGAACTGAAAAGTGAACGAAAAATTGTGTGGATTTTAGATTTACTTTCGATTTTGCAAAATGAATTGACTATCCATTGACCTCTAGGTCGCATTCAAAATGCACATTTACCTGAAACCCATACGAGTTGACTCATCATCAAATGTTTCCAGCTCTTTCTCATGCTTGTCGTTCAACTGTCTTATTCGTTCAGCACGTTCGTTATTGAATTGTTGCAATTCAGCATCCATCTAAGAGATATATCGAAATCGATAAATGAATGATAATTGGATCATTTGATTTAAGTTTAACTTGAAATGAGCCGTGGAGTCAAACTCATGTAATGAGTCAAAGTCATTCAAACTGATTCATTTCAATTGAATCTAATTCAAAGTGATAAATTTTCGCTTATTTTGAATACACACTACATACCTTATTTTCAAGCAATGAACGTCGAACACTGACTCTATCCTCAAGTTCTTTGCGTTCTCGATCGCGCTGTGCCTGCGCTTGCATACGATTTTTACTTTGATACGCCATCAATATCTCCAATTCGTATTGCAAACGGTCCTTTAATTGTTGACACTCAATCTCCTGACTCTCATCCAATCGTAAGCTTTGCTTCTGCAGCATATCGGCTATGGTTTGTTCATACTGAAAATTGAACAAAATTCAAAGTTAGACATCCCATCAAAATGACTAAACCCATCGAAAAAAAAATGAAAATTACAACGACACAAACCTGTTCACCCAACAGAGTTAGTTTCCGATGTTGTTCCTCTTTTAATTTCTTTATCACAGCTTTTTGTTCTTCCTTAGGTGTTGTGTGCAGTATTTGCGACTTTAACGCTTTATATTGTCTAGTTTGAGTTTTGCACGTTTCACGGAACTGTTTACGGATCTGCAGCTCTTTTTGCTGTAAGTTAAACACAAATGATTAGAATAAAAGCTTCGTCATGATGCTGTGCTGCTGATTCGTATGGTAGGCAAAAAGTCAATCGCACAAAAACACTGGGAAAAAGTCAATCGCTTTTTTCTGGGAAATTACCTTTAAGCTCTTGGGCTGTTGCTTCACTTCAGCCGCATGCTTGCGAAGTAATTCCTTTTCGGCACGTTCTGTGTAATCTCGTTGGTTTTGCAATTCGGTTGCATGTTGTTTGGCTATTTGTTCTTCACGCAAATTATGTACACTCTTCTGTTGGCGATATTCCAAGTCTTGAGTCTTTTCATGATGTTTCAGCAACATCTCATGCGCCTGTTCCAGTTGCTGTTGTTTTTTGCTTAGTTCCTGCAATAGAAAATGTAGCGATTATTAGTGAGATGCAAAAACGGTTCGTTCTCAAGAAAAATGTTGAGTGTTCAAATTATGATCATTGATTGTGAACCAATCAACGCCACTCACATCTTGCAATAATTGATTTTCCAGATCGTGAAAAATGAGCATTTTTCGTCGTTTGAATTTTCGCATTTCCAATTCAATGTAGCTCTTTTGGCCTTTGATCAGCCGATTCTCTTCTTGCGCCTCAGCCTGTTTCAGATTATCCTTTTGCGATTGCAATGTAGCATCTCGTTGTCGTTTCGGTGTCGAATCGTCCATTGATAGTTCGCGCTTCCATCTCTCTTTGTTCGCCTTATACTCTCGCTTCTTGTTCAATTCCCAGTTTTTGCGATCGCCCTCCTGTTTCAATGTGATATCTTTGGATAGTTTCTTTTCGGCAGCATTGTGTTGTTTCACCCGTTTTTCTAGTTCTTGTTGATGCTTAACCTGGCGGAGAGATGAATGGTATTAGATTTGGTTTTACAAGATGAAATATGAATTAAAATCCGAAACTCACCGATAATCGATCCAATTCTCTGGTAAAATTATGCAATATCATATCATACTCTTTATCTAAGGCGGATTTATGGTTCTCCATTTCGACTTTGCATTTCTCTTCGAGTTTGACGAGAGCGGCTTGATGTTCTCGTCGCATTCGCTTGTAGCCGGACATTTGTTCATGCATTTCCTCTTGCATGTGCTCCTTTTGTTGCTTCGTCACGATGCTGGTGGTTCGTATGGTGGCGAAATTGTTGGCACCATGTTCAGATACGGCATTGACCATTGCCTGCTGTGGCAAATGGTTCACATAGTGGCCCGAGCTTGAACTAGCAAATCCGGACATAACGCCCATTTGATTAATTGAAGATGATGACGGATTTGGCTGCAGCGGATGGTATTGATGCTGCGGCATTTGTTGTTGATGCGGCGGCAGATTGTTGTTCATATTCACATTAATTGGTGGGGGCATTGGATTACGATGGCGTGATGATGCTCGTGAAATTGCACCGCCATGATGTTGATTTTGTGGAATTGAATTACTCGAAGAGCTCTGGAATGGCCAAAAAGAAAGATACAGCCGTTAACATTTGTGTCAAATTACGAAATCAATTGTGTGTCAAAGTCTTACCTGGCTACTATTCGCCGATATTCCAACCGATTGGATCGAATGTTCGGATGTTATGCTGTTACTTTTGCTGCTATCGCCACCGGTTTGTTCGTCGTTAGCCTCCTCCGAATCGCCGATCGTGCTCTCCGTTTCGCACGAATCGACCATGAGAATCTTCTTCATTTTGCGATAATTCAAATTGTCCAATTCACGTACGGCCGCCTTGGTTCGGGCAATCAGCTCAACCAGCACGTTTGTCGTTCGCTGCTTCTTAACAATTGGATGTGAGAGTAGTTTATAGGATGTGGGTCGATTGACTGGATTTTTATTGAGACACTCATCGACAAAACTGCGAAATGTTTGAGACCAATCTTGTGACTGTAGCGATGGTGCATCATTTTGCGCGATATGGTAGAGTGCAGCCATTGCGTTCATATTAAAATAGGGTGGTTTACGTTCGGCCAATTCGATACAGGTGATGCCTAACGACCATACATCCACTTTGCCATCGTATTGACCCTCGTCCATGGCTAAAATCACTTCGGGCGCCATCCAATACGGCGTCCCAACAAAACTATTGGCCGGACACTTGATAGCCGCACTACCAAAATCGGCCAGTTTCACAACTCCTTGTTCCGTTAGCAAAATATTTCCAGCTTTGATATCACGATGTATTCGGCCCAAACTATGTAAATAGCTCAAACCTTGCAGTACACCATCACAGATTGCTGATATTTCCTCTTCGCGTAACGGTCGCTTATGCACTTCGATAATATCCGATGCGGAGCCAACACAGTACTCCATCACCAGCCAAGCGGTATTCTCACGCAAATAGCATCCCTTATATTCGATCGTGTTCGGATGGTTTAATTGACGTAAAAAGCGGATCTCTTTTAGGATATCCTGCCACTTTTCCATACTTTGTCGTCCAACGTACGACATCTTCTTAATTGCCACGATTTCCTTGGTGAGCGTGCATCGTGCATAGTACACAGCACCGAACGAACCGTGGCCAATTTCACGTAGATCTTCGAATATCTTTTCCGGATCATGTTTATTGAAGAGTTCAGCGATTTCGGGATCTTTTAGACTGCCAGGCCTTGCTGCCGATGGCATTTTGGCAACAAATTTCTTATCGTCCGACACTTTAACTCCGTTTTATCACACACGTCGCTTCCAGTGTGGTTTTAGCTTTTGTTTGGATACTGTGTTTTATTTAATCCGTATTTTTTATACGTTGAAAATGGTTAAAAATATTTTTGTTCGTGTTTTGGGTCAATGTATTTTGAAAAAAAAATGTGTAGTCAATTGCTGGCGTTGAGTTGACTTTTGATGTAATTAACAAATTTGGAACACTTGTTGGGGTTGATTCTTGTGTTTGTCTGATTTGCAGTGCTTAGAAGTTTCCTAACATTTCGATGCAATGCGTTTGCAGTATCTGGTGCAGTGAACGACCTCCATCATCTGAAATAAACCAAACAACAATTGAACGATTACAAAACCCATCTTCGTCAAATTGTATCAACTACAACAAGAAAAAGAAGAAGAGAAGAAAAAAACTTGTGGATAACTTTTCGTGCAGCAACAAAATTACAATTGTAGCTGTAGTCGTGGGCTTTTAATTTATCAAAATTTTAGATTAAAAGTTGATTTTTTCGCATTACAATTACTTATTCACTTTCGCTTTTCATTTTCACAAAAATAAATACACACACACACACACACACACAAATAGACTGTTTCATTTCACGTGCTCAACATCATAAATTTTAATTACGAGTCCCATTGCTGATTTACACTGAATATATGTATTTACAATGATTTTGTGTTTTCCATTCGGCTGAAATAATTTCGCTTTCAGTGGAATTAAAATGTACGGCCTTAGTCACGCTCTCTTCGATTCTTTGGGTGTTCAGTGCGGTGGCACGGATATCGCCGCGCAGCAGAAGAGGTATGCGCTTCAAACGTAAGCTAATTTATCATCATCATCATTATAAATGGATTGCCCATTAAAAGTGTAGCACTCGGGGAGAAGAATGTGTGGAGCCGATGTTGAAAGCTCTTTTCATCGGACGTTCGATCGATCGGTGAAAATAATCAATTGTGTAAATATGCATGCCGATTGAATTTGCGTATTTATTTTCCATCTCTCTTTCTCTCGCCCGCTCGTCGATAGCAAATTTATTGGACCGAATGATTGGATTCAATGTCGAATAAATGCAAAAGCCTATTAAATAGAGCAATTTGAATGCCAAATTTTGCTCATTTTTTTTTATTCTCAGATCCAATTTCATCAAACATATTTTTTCTCTTTTCATACACAATATTCAATTTGGTGAAGCGTAATAAATCGTCATATTCGCAATTTGAATGGCCTACCAAATATATTCATCGCATTTTTGTTTGTCTCGTTTCGAACGTAACACTTATGTAATCATATGCATGCTGCTATAAATGAGCCTATTTAAGCTTTAATGAAAATGACACTGTTTGTTGTGATTCAATAGAATTCATTACGCCGACGACAGACAGTCAGTAATGAATCGAGCAATTTCCCAGTGGGAAAAAGTTGAAAATCGACATCGAGTCAAAACAAAAAAACAACAACGAAAACAGTCGCCGATTGTATTAGGTGCAAACAGTGCTCTTGATTGATAACAACAGCATCCATTAACATCTGTTTATGAAGAGAGTGAAAAAAGCGCAGCTAACACATAGTTAACAACTAGTTTCGAACAAATTAGCTCTCCGTTTGTTACGCTCCGGTATTATTAATAAGCAAAAAGGGGAAAACAGCAGTTTATGACACAAGAGATGGAGCGTATTTGGTGAATGTGTCACTTTGATTTTGTGCTGTCTGAGTGTGTCGGTAAGCAACTAGACATTTTTAACAACTTCAGAATAGTAAAAACAAACTACACACAGCACATTTGATACGTGTTCCAATGTGATATTGATCAAGGTTTCAGTGCAGTGCGAAGTTTTTTTTTCCTTTTGTTTTTACTTCTAAAGTCATGGCGCTTGTTTTCTTTTTCAATCACTCACAATGAATTCAATGTTTTCAATTAGTATCTATTTATATTCTCTCGTGTGCGCAAAAAGAAGTGCGAGATAGCGAGGGAGACGTAGAAGAAAAAACACAGTCGGCAAAACCTTTCGTTTAATGCCATTCAATGTGAATTGGCCTGAAGGAGGAGTGTGGAAAGACAAAGCTACATGAGAATAAACAAACACGATTGATACATATCTTGTGAAATAAATATTGGATTTATTTCGCGTGAAAGAGAACGAAACACGAATTTTCTTTGCTTATAGCTTGTAGTTGGCTTTACTTTTACTTTTTATTTGCTTCATCGTTGTTTTCTTGCACGCAATTAGACTTCTCTTTTTGCTTCTCGCATTGATGATTGAAAATGTCACCACACACGATATAATGGATTTTCTATCTTGTCGATCGATCGGATTCCACACAAGTGGCTACCAGTCACACACACACACAACTTTACACAAATCGCCGTTTTAGTTTCACACTTGTTCATAACATTAAGTTTTTCTTGCTGGCTTTTTAAATGCCTATTGCATTTGTCCGGTAAAGCGATGTTATAACAGGCTATCACCCAAGATTGACAGTATCGATTGATATTATTTTTCTCGCAAAGTCCTGTTAATCACCATAAATCTCTCTCCATATCTCTCTTTTTCACTTGATGTTAAGTTTTGCGGAAAAAAAGACGATTATCGTAAATATGTTGAGCCGCCCTTTTGCAATTGTGTGTCGGTCGGATGGGAAGTTTCGTGCAATTGGCCATGTTATGGGCGAGAGTAGTGTGCGGGCGAAAGAAACAAAGACAAGCAAACGCATGTTTACAAAATGCCAAAGCGTACGTAAAAAATTCGAGGGAATGAGGGATAGAGCAGTTGGCAATGTAGCCTAGACATGCATCGATCGAATCTCCACACACACACACACACACACACACACACACACACACACACACACACATACATACCCGTAACGCAAAGTAATGCAGAATGTATAATAATAATTGAAATCGATTCGAGTGAAGACGGTGTAAGGGAGAGAGAAGAAAAAAAGTTGCGATGAAAACATAAAGTGTCAATAGCGCGTCTCGAGACACATGAATTCGATATATATGCATACATGAAAAAAAACAGAAACCAAATCGTTCAACCAGCTGCAAAACAAAGTCGGCACATTTCAATGAGCAAACACGTAATGACATATTTTTGTTACGTTGTTTGTTAAAAAAAAGTGGTTGCTTTTTTCTTTGTTTCTTTCTTGAACGTATCAATTTACTTTGTTTTGAAGTGAATAGGAGCGATTGTGTCTTATCATCATTTCATTTCATAGGTTCGTTGGCTTCCAAATGCCACATTAAAAAAAAAATACGAATGCATGCTTAGACTTTATTTATCTTTAATTGTTAGATGTATTTTATTTGTGTTTCCCGTTGTTTGAGGCTAATATGAAATGATCTTGTTGTCAGAGCATTATAAAAGTAAATGCAAAATTATACAGAGAGTTTCTCCGCGCCTGTCGACAATTGCATTGTTTCAAGTAATGCATTCAGGTTTGTGTTGCTCGTTTTTCTATTTCGATAAATACTCTCAAACCCGAAATCAAATTCAAATGTTTATTAATGAATATTAAAATGAAACAAATATATATATATATATATATAAATCAATTGTGAATGGATGCGATCGATGGATGAAACATATGAAATGATTCTGAGACGGGTTTCTCCATAAAAATGTCTGCGAATACAAATTTCATGGAATTCGTTGAGCATTGTAATGAGCTCATTCCGATAAGAATTGAAATGCGGCGACATCGAGAGTTGAAGAGAGAGAAAAAAACGAGTACAATTTCCTTAACAATTTTTGCCTAATTAAATTAATCGCCACCAAACATTCTTCAATAAATACACAAATTGTTTTTTCTTCTTGTGTATGTGCATCACGATAGAGCATATCGCGGTCTCGAAAGGAAAAAAAAACACTCATTGTGCATTACTGACTTATTTAATGAATACAAATTCTGCCTTATCATTTCGTATGGTACGATAAAATTGTGCACACGCGCAAACCCAATTTCGTCTCGCTTTTTTTCCAATGGAATTCCTTCTCTGTCAAAAGTTCCGAATGGAATAATCATAAGCTTGAATGGAATACTTGATTACACCATTGGGCAGAAATGTTTGGTACCCGTGGCATTTAAAGAAATGAATCACATTTTATTACGGTTTTTTTTACCATGGATTGGCCATCGCATATTGGGATTGGACATTGAAGTGGTTGAATTTTGCGGTGTAAATTGGAACAAAACAGTGCACGGTTGAAAATTGCACACAGACGCTTCATTCATCATTAACATCACGTTAATATTGAGTATGACTGTAGATCCGATTAGACCATATATGGATAGCAGATACGCATGCATATATTGGCTCAAAGCCACTCAAATGCCCGCCAATCGATTCGCACACTATGAAGACTTTGTTCCTCTTTTTTTCGTTTTGTTTGGAAAAACCGCAACCGATCAACATTTGATGAGATACGAAGAACGAGTGAGAGAGAGAGAGAGAGAAGTACACAAAAAGAATCAATCGCACGAGAAAGACATTGAAATCTTCGTGATTTCATGCTTCATTGAATCGCCTGAAAATTCGTATTGGTTGACCATATGGCGACAAACGGCAACTTTGACTGTATATACTAAATATTTCCAAAATATTTCCGTCGATCCCGGCCAAAGCCAGCACAATCAAAGTGTATATCGGTGTGATTTTTTTTTATTTCGATTGCATAAATCCAAAATCAAGAATCTCTGACCTCTTTGGTGCGAGGGAAAAATCATGCGGCATTTATATGTATCACATTCATTTTTCTCTTCAATATTCATTGTTTTATATTTTTATCTCTCAATTGATTTGGATGGTACCATCAGCACCAGCCCGCCGACCAGCCAACCAAATGAATTGACTTCTCTCATTTTTAAAATGAAACGAAACCGAGTGTTTAATTATACACATATTTCAGGCCGTTTTCTGAATCACAGACAAAATTCATATACACAGACACGTCTAAATGCGTGTATGGGCTGCTGTATGCACACACCAATACAGTGTTAGGTAACTTTCGTTCAAAATGGCGATTCATACAAAGCTCGCTCGCTCGTTCGGTCGGTGCTCGCCTATAGAAATTATGATTCCAGTGAGCATGTTTCGTTGGTGTATGTGAGCAGGCTGCTGCTACTACTGCTGCTGCTAGTGCTGCTGCTAGTGCTGCTGCTTTATATGCTCGGCCTGTAGTCGATTGTGTGTTCTATTTGTGTGTTTCTGCCGTTTGTTATTACATATTGGCAGCACGCATTACGCACACCGAATAAATGGAAATTAAGAGCGAGCAGCAGAGAAAAGAGAAAGAGAGAAAGAAATTAAACACAGACAGAAGAGCAAAAAAAAATTATGATGAACACATAATCGCACCACTTGCATTTAACATCAACAAGACAGCAAGCAGCAGCAGCACGAGCGAGCGAGCGAGCAAAAACTAAAACATAATTACTGAATGAAAACATCATTTTTTTACATTAATAAAATTGAGTGGCCAGCATCAATTTTTTCTTCATCGTTTGTTTGGTGTTTTTTCTGACTTGATGGATAGTATTTTGGTACTGCTTTTGTCTTTTTTTCGCTGATAACCAGTGACTGCAGTCTAACCATGGTTAGATGTGAATCAAAGTGTCAAAGCACCGCAAACTCAAGATTATAATTGAAAATCGTTGTTTTCGCCTCGAAATTTGAGCTCGATGACGACTACCGAGCTACGGCAAAAGATGTGCGCTGTGTTTATCATACACTTAATATTTATGAGTCTTTCCTGAACACTGGGCACTTAACATGCATATCGTTTCGTCCAATGAATTTTATTTCTTCACGCAATATGCCATTTGATAAGAACATTTGGGCTAGTCAACGGGTCTTTCTTCGTTCACTTTGTTGGGCCAATCGTTCGCCTTGAATTTGAAGTTGATTTGGGTCGAATTTCTGGATTTCATCGTCTCATTCCACCCGGAAGTATAAACATCTTGATACTTGAGATACATTCAGCAAAATAACTCTTAATTTTCATAATTGATTGATGTTGTTTTAAAACGTTCCAAACAAGCAATAAACAACATTTGCAACAAATGACTTTCAATAATGAGCTCTTGCCGTTTTCGCACACACAATAATAGATAGAAATGTATATAATGCGAACACACAACCATAACATAAGCGACGTTTAAATGTGATTTAATTCACATTAAACAGTTTACAAGTATATATATATATATAGTAGTCTGTCAGTACATCACTAGGTAAAGGGCGTTGAATTTAACAAAACAATTTGTCTCACATCTCTCTTTCTCCGCATGTATAAAAACGCTTACAATCATATTTCTGCGCTTATGTGCTTATTATTATTTCTATACGATTCGTTTTTTTCTCGGTTTCATTTCATTCGTATTTCATATATGTAAATGTATTTTTTTTTTTCATTCTTGTCCTGTTTGCACGACACAATTTCATCAATTTCAATCACTTTACATTTACTTCGTCGATTTATGAGTGCGTATATATGTGTATGACTGTCGTTGGATGTTAGGCGTTTTGTTTTCTTTTAAATTCGAATCGATATTTTGATGCAAATTACTTGAGTTTAGTTGGAAGAGACGGAACAAACGAACAAAAAAAAAATCACACAAAATATCACGACAATTGTATGGATGCGAGCGAAAAACTGCAGCAAAAGCAATTAGAGACATTGATGTTGATGTGAGTATATAGGAGTTGCCTCTGTGTCTTTCTCTCTCGCTCTCTCTCTCTCTCTCTCTCTCTCTCACGTTGACGTTCATTCTACAATCATTATTTTTTTGTGTGTTGCTCTGCTCATAACATAATTACGATGTCAAACCCTTTTTTTTCCTCTCGTTCAATCACATTGCCACATAAAATTCAATCTTGTTCCCATTTCGTTTGACTTTTTGAACTTGATTTTTGTTTTTTTGTGTAACTTGAACTTTAAAAAACGGAAAAACAAACCACGAAAAAAACAACTTTAACATTTTTCGCCAGCCACATCAGTTTCCACTACAGCCAACAATTTCATGCGCTGCTACAATTTTTCTTCTCTTTCTCGGTGTGTCTCTTGTAAATTTCATTTGTAAACAAAACCATTTAGCTAGCCTTGCCTTTTCTACTCGATTTGATGCCAATTGAGATGTTCAACTATTTGGATTTTGTTATTTTGATGTTTTTTTTTTTCTTTCATTCGATGACAAACATACGCACACACCAAACACGATTAATTTTCATTTAAAATCTCCGAACAATGTACGAACGAACGAAATAGAATAGACTACAGTAACTTAAATTTTATCAATTCGAATAAATTCAATCAATTTTACGTTCTTCTTTTTCTTATTTCTCTGTTTAAACAAAAATCAAAATGGAAAAAACACAACAAATTTGCTTCTTATTTTTCTTTTCGTCGACGTTTTTTTTTCTTCTTCTTCGTCTTGGAAATTAATTGAACGTGAAATGAATTGATAAAAACACACACCAAAAATAAAATTAAACCAAGAAAATATGGTTATTCCATTCGTCGATCGCACGGCAAATATATTAAATTTTTTCGTTTATTTTTTTCCTTCTTTTCCACACTTAGCTGTCTCCACTACTGCTCGGTGTCTGTCTTCGTTTTTTTTTCTCTTCATGAAACCTTTTTTCAACTTTCCGTTCGTTGGAAGGCTGGATGTGTGAGTGTATATGTGCGTGCGCCCGTGTGTGTGTGTCTGTATGCGTGCGTGTGTGCACCACTGATGAACGGGTGTATGTATACACAGAGTGGAATTAGCATTGCTGCCACTACTACGGGACCAAGTCAATATTGCATGGCAACGTTTGATGTATGGGTGGATTTCGGAAATGGAAAGCCACACACGATAATGCGATTGAGTTGTCTGTGAATGTTGCATGATTTTCGAAGTGCCCGATGTGCTGTATGTTTTGCATAATCTCATCGTGTAATTTCAACATCTTTTAGATTGCATGCGTTTTGGGTGAAAATTGAAAACTAATTTGCCATATCAGACCATAAATTTTCGGTTTGAATTTAAATTTGATCACTTTTCTGGATCGATTACATTGAAAGCCGTGCAAATGACTTGCGCATTAACAGACTCCGACATTTGACACACATGCACATCCACTCACATCAGGCAATATTCTTTGTTGTCTTCCAATTTGACACATTGACTCATTCAAAAGCATTTGTCATATTATCACTTTGACAGCTGGACACGAACTGAGAGAGAGAAAAAAACAGATTACAAATGTCAATTTCAACGTATAATTTGACATAACAAAAAAGGGGAGTCATAAAAGGCGAGACAAATACACAAATCGAAGAAAAAAGAGACCTGAAGTAAATAAACGCTAATTGAGTTCGGGTTGAATTAGTATGACTCAAACATGTTTCCACATTTGTACGGATTTCGTGTGAATATTTCATTGTTTCAAGAGGCGGCAAGCAAAGAATTGTTGGAAATACTTGAAAAATGCGAAGGAACAAAGGTTCGTTGTTGATGCTTTTGTTTGCTTGTTGTTGAGCCAGTTGATTTATGAGTTTCATTCGATAATAGGCTATTGTGTGGGATGATTCACTATCAGGACCAGTTGGATTGGTGACTAAGTATGCATTTCTCAAGGAGCGAAATGTTACGAAAATGTTACCATTGCGACCCGGTGCACTGCCCGATGTTGATGTTCGCAACATTATTTTCATCACAAGACCAAATTTGAAGCTCATGAATTGCATCGCTGAAAATGTGCACAGCATCGATAAACGCCGCGGTGGCTCGAACAAAGAGCTCTTTTTGTATTTTTTACCCAGAGTGTCTACCCTCTGTGAAACTCAGCTGAAAAACAAAGGTGTCTACGGTAGTTTCATACATGTTGGCGAATTTAAATGTGACTTTTTCCCAGTTGATAATGATTTGCTGTCGATGGAACTGAAGGATTCATTTCGGTAAATGGAAAATTTATGAAATTACCCGAAAGCATTGAGTTTACACACACGATATTTTGCCTTTTTCAGTGATTTGCATATCGAAGATGATCCAACGAGCATCTTTCTATCGGCAAAAGCGTTGACATCACTTCAAAAACTATACGGTCGTATTCCGAAAGTCTACGGAAAAGGGAATGACGCAAAGAAATTGTGGGATTTATTGAAAACGATGGGCAAAGAAGAACTGTCGTCGAGTACCATGGGCAAGGGAGCCATTGATCAACTCATTATTTTGGATCGATCGGTTGACGTGATGAGCGTGCTAACGACACAGCTTACTTACGAAGGTCTTATAGGTACGAATATTGATTTTCTTTCGTTTCCAATTTCCTGCACTTCATTCTATGAACGGATTTCTTCTAACAGACGAAGTATACGGCATAAGCCAATCCACGGCACATTTTCCATCGGATCGCTTTTTGTCATCGGACGAGAGTAATTTGCAGACATCAACATCCGATAAAAAAACAATCATTTTGAATTCGGGCGAAGAGTTGTACACCGAATTAAGAGATAAAAACTTCAATGCCATTGGTCAGATTCTATCGCGGCGTGCCAATGAAATAAGCAAGCAACTGGATGAACGTCACAATGACAAATCCGTACAAGATATAAAAAGATTCGTTGAACGCCTGCCAAATATGATGGCATACAAAAAATCCCTGGCAACACACACCACAATTGCTGAAATGTTGAAAGAGGTCACATCATCCGATCAATTTCTCGACGAATTGGAATGCGAACAGGAGTTTTTGATTTGCTTAGATGTTGATAAAGTTAATCCATTCATCGAAGATATGATTGCAAATCAAGCACCATTCCGAACGGTCATTCGATTGATTTGCATGCAAAGCATCGCTGGCTCGGGATTGAAACAGAAAGTGCTGGACTATTATAAAAGGGAATTGGTTCAAGTGTATGGGATCGAAAAGTTGCTGGCGATAAGCAATTTGGAAAAAGCTGGATTGATTAAAGTTCAAGCGGGAAGCCGGACATATGCGGTGGTGCGAAAGGTAAAATTCGATAAATTCTTAGCGTCAAGGCTGAAATCTAATCGATTTTTATTGATACTTGGCACAAAGTGATAAAGCTAATTAACATTAATCGTATATTTACTTTTCACTTCGAAACAGACGCTGAAACTAACTGTTGAAGACACCAATGAGGTGACACCAAATGACATAAGCTACGTGCATACATTTTATGCTCCATTGACAATTCGAATTATTGAGCGTGCTCTCAAGCCTAATGGGTGGCAGTCGCTAAATGATGTCTTATCGTGTTTGCCCGGGCCAACATTTGAAGATTACCAGTCTAATGTTGGCCAGTCAACACTCTCAACAACGCGTCGTGGTTCCTTCAGCAGTGAGATTTCGCAATCCGACACACCCAAAGTGATCCTTGTATTTTTCCTCGGCGGTTGCACGTACGCCGAAATATCAGCGCTTCGATTCCTTTCTCGACAGGAGGACAATAACGTGGAGTTTATTGTCGCAACGACCAAATTAATCAATAAAAACACATTTTTAGATAACCTAATCGAGTAATACAACCGAAACAACTGATCATTCCTTTAGTATATTTCATTCAATTGTTTTATTAAATAATAATAACAACTCAATTTACATTACATGTTAGCCGGTCATTGCATTGAATGCGAATGCCGACTGATTGCAATTGAAAATGAAAAAGTTTACTACGTGTGATTCATCGCTTTGTGGAATCTCGCTCCTGTTTTGTTCGAATTATTAAAAACAATATGATTTTCCAACAACAATGTGTGTGTGTGTTTTTTTAAAACAATTTTGACCAATTTAGCCTAATTTTTCCGGATGCCGATTTAAAAAGAAATAAAGTAATAGGATCACACAGAAAATACCTATATCTGCTCTAAATATTCAACGTTTTTTTTATTTTCATGTTGAAAAACTGGTAAAATTTCTTTTATTATTGTGTCATTGAAATTGAAACGTGTGGTATTCCTGCGGTGAGCTGGAGGCCGGTCGATTCAATTTGGTCGAATGTAGTTTGTATCAAAAATTTCTAATTCGCTGGTAATATAGTTTGCTTTGTTGCGGAGAAGTTTCAAATTCTTTTGATTTGCCTCGAGCACAGCGAGTTCACCTTCGATTTTCTTCAGTTCGTCAGTCATGTCGGAGGTGGCGGTGTCAACAACGCGACACAAACGAGCAAACGTTCCTGAAAGCTCTCTGAAAGATGGAGAAAAATGGGTATTTAATGATTGGTTTTCTTTCTGAAGAAAAGTTATGTTGGCTTGTGGCAAATCGAAATTGTATGAACTAGAGTTCAACGGAGGATGGTTTTATTCTTTGATTTGTCACAGTTTCAAGTAAAAGATAGTTTTTGAATGCGTTATGAGAAGATTGGACAAAATTATCTTACTGTTGCACTTGATGGCTGCAATTTGATGATGTCAGATCTACGATTAGCTTCAATTTTCTGGTAGCATGACGAACGTATTGTTCTTTAAATGTTCGTTCTTTAGCTGAATTATTCCAAGAAAGCCGCTCGTAGAAATAGACACAGCCATAAAGAGCTCCAATGCCAACCAGCACACGCCATCCAACGGTCTTCAGCAACTGTTTCAATGGGAAAAAGGCAATTTTTTTTTATCGAAATGAACCAAAAACATAGCATGGAAAATGGATTGCAATATTGAAATATACTTACAAATCCAGCTACAACCAAACCACCGACTGTCCCTTGTGAACCGATCGATGCCATTGCGAAACGAGATATCACTGATATTTGCTCTTGTGAAATACCCGTTTGTTGAATAAGACACATTGATTGAGGTCCATTCGGTTCATTTGTGACTGGGCTCAGAACATTTGGAATCTGTATTAAAAAAAAAAGCGAGACACGTCAGAAAAAGTACTTAAAAATTGATTTCAATTTAACTTACACTTGCTGTGCTATTTTGTCTGTTATACATGATAGCGCCTTTGTTTTGTTGTTTCTTAGCTTTGCCGGTGAATCGTTGGATCATCGCTGTGATGCCCCATGAAAATTTAAATTCCAAGTCTTCGTGGAAGTCGGAGCAAAGGTTCTGGCAATTCAATGTGTAGAACATTTCGAATGGTTGTGTTCGTGCCAGAATCTGTTTGCTTTGTTGTTTGATACTTTCAGTAGGTATGAGTGAGTGCATGCGTTCGGTCATTTCACGTTGAGCGGTTTCGATGTTCATGGCCAATGCGGTCGATAGACGTGACTTGAGATTCGATCCCAGCCCATTTTCTACATAGCCATTGATCTCCTTTTTATACACATTTAAAACTAACGGTTCAGTGTGGAACGGCAAATTGAATTCATCGACTAGCACATTCAAACGCCAAATTTCCTCATTCAATGCTTTGGATACCTTTTGTTCAACTTCTTCGACCATATTGTGGATTTTCAATTTCATTTCGCGTGTGATTGACATCAATTCTTGTTCCGTGTGACCAATACGATCGGTGAGTTGGGCCTTTTGCTTGAGTTTCTCATTTCGGGTTGATCCAGCTCTTTCAAAGATTTCGTCGAGCATTTGATGCATTTCATTTGCAATCGTTTTACCACGTGAACTGTGCTGTTCGAACTTTGTCTTGACGGCCGATTTCGAAATACACTCTTCGAATTTGCGTTCAAAGTCCTGGAACTCAAAGTAGCGATTGGAAAATCCTTCAGCCAATGCACCATTGTTTGGTGGCTGACCCTTTGATTCACAGATACGTGCCTATAAATTGTAAGTTGAACAGAAAATTGGATTAAAGAACGTGTGAATGCTTTATACCATTTGTGCTTTTTGCAATAATATGGAGGCGCCATGATTATTTACCAATCAATAGTACTGAAGTACAGTGTATTTGAGTACGTAACTTCTCCACTACTGCTTGAAAGCACAATGGTATAAAAATCTGCAAGAATTTACGCCTCGTTCTTTGGAAGAATTTAAATTCATTCATTCGGAAAGTAATTATCGTCTTTTGAATTAACACATGAACCTTTTATAGACTCGATTTCTTCTTTTGAAATTTTCATACGACCTTTTGTAGATAAAAAGGGGCAAAACATAATGTTTCAAATCACTTACTTGAAGTGTTTCACGTGCTGACACGAAGAACACCCGTTCATCAGCTTCTTTCATATTGGCAACTTTCAACTCCTTAACCAAAAAGTCGATGCAACGTTCTTGATGTTGTGACTTAACCTGAAATCGAAAACGAATTTGAGAAATATTGCCACAAGCCAACACATTCGAACTTTGATACAAAATAATAAGCCAAAAGAAATGCTATGAGAAATCAAAACCAACGACTATTTTTAATGCGGAATTTAGCAACACATCGAATCAAATCAATAGATGGAACGTGCTTGCAAAGCTTCTCTAAAATATATATTCGAAACTTTAAGCTAGGCACAAACCTTATTCAAATCCTTTTGATTAAAAAAGAGGTTTGATACACGTGTACGGGTTCAGAAAGAGAAAGGATTCTATCAGAAAATATTTCAGCTAGCTAGATTACATGAACATAAAGTGACCATAAAAACAGAAACTTACGGATTCCAAAAACTCTGGCTCATTGGCAGATGCATCCCAGCGATTCATCAGAATGAATACATTCGGCTTTGACAACCGCTTCGACACGGTGTGGAAAAATTGTTTTTCCTGTGAAAAGATAAAAAATCGAATTAGAATCATTTTAAATAGATTACACACGTTTAGTGGAATGGAACTAACCGCAAGTGTCATTGTTGACTCCGAATTCAAGACCAGCACAAATACATCTGCGTCCAGGCAATGATTATCGATCCAATCATCGAGATTCGGTGAAACATCTACACCAGGTGAGTCCACAAATACGACATCATCACGAAGCAAGCTACAACGCTCCCGTGGCCAAAAGATTCGAATCTTTGAACTCTCGCATAATTTCTCTGAGCAGAGAGCATTTGCCAATTGCTGTACATTCTGTAAATATGATGATAATGACAATAATGAAAAATACACGTGTTCATGTCATTTTCTTGAACTTGTTCGCACTATATGATGACGCAACACAGAGTGCTTCAAATGTTTATTTATTTTTCAAAATGTAAACAGTCAATAGTGGATAGCATGCGATTCGCATGATGTGAAACGAGTATGCATACTGCGCTTAAAACACTTCCCATAGCTAAAACGAACTACTTACGGTAACATTGAGCCGTTCATCAGAGCCTTCTTTGACCAAATATGCTTCGTTGCCGTCGACCCCTTCTACTTGACAGAAGCAATTCGTAGTATGCCCAATGCCGGATGGTAGAATTTTTTCGCGTAACATCGCATTGATTACGGAACTTTTGCCATTTGATGTTCGGCCAAAGAAAGCCACTTTCATGTGATCTCGATTGAGCACTTGTCGGATGGCTGCCACCTTATGCACATAGCTTTGGAACTGTTCGGCTTCAGCTTTGTCAATGAGTGCCACTTCGGCATTGTGTTCTGCAAAATTCGAGAAAATCAGGTTTATTTTTCAATTGATTTCAATTTGGAGATATGTTCCAATGTCACATTGTGCCATATAAAAATGTGGTCCTTACCATCCATAAAATGTGCGGTTTCGATGACATACTCTTCAATTTCGCCAAAAATGTCATTGATTTTCTTTTTAGCTTTAACAAAAATCTGTAGCGGTGAATTTTCGTAGGCAATATTATGCAGCGAACGATCCAAACCATTTTCATGTGAAGGCGATGCAAGATTTCCAGACATGATCGACAGGGTTCGATTCAAGTAAACAGCCATAATTCAATGTTTTCAATTTTATTTATAGGTGTGTTCAACACGGGTTTTTTTTTTCAATCGATTTATATTCGTCCGTTTATTTTGCAGTATTCAAATGTTTTATTGTTTCACAATTACACCACAACGAAGCGAACAGCACACAATTAGGAGAGTCTTAGATTCAATACTTTCTATGATTGTTGGTTTGTCTCCCTTCTTGTCAGCAACTTAAAAAATTCGAAAAACGAAAGAAAAATAAAACCAATGCCAAAATGAAATATCACACGAACTGAACTTAAACCAAATGAAAACAGAAAAAAAAAACTCAATGACAAGAGCAGAGTAATCGGTATGGTGTCAACAGCTAGCTATTTTCGTTTGTTTTACAAATCGGTGCTGAAGATAAATATATTTATCTAAATAGGAGAGTGCTTGCGAACTGAAGATTACAACTGAAAAAGGCAGTTAGAAATTTAAAAAACCATAAAATAAATGAAGAGGAAATCATGGCTGATGGTGTAAGTCTTTGAAACAGCAAAATTTATCTGAAATGGTCTAAAAATCGATTTTTCCAGCTGTGTTGGTGTTGCGTCAAAAGACTACTAACAATTTCGATTGATTCGATAGGCTCTATTAATTTTGAGTTTAGATACGCATCTCAATTAAAATGCACACAGAATCAATGGCGCCTAAAGTAACATAAAACGAACCGCAGCCAGTTGAAACCTAAATTAAACCATGTGCACCACAAATCGCACTGTTCGAATTGATTCTTCTAAGTTTAAGACGCAACTAAATCAATCATAGTTTTTTTTGCGCCTCTTTTTTTTCACTTCAAGCTGGATTCGACCGATTTCAATCGCAATGTCTAAATTTAGCTGTTTCAATGATCAATGCAGAAGACGAGCAAAAAACACCACAAACAAATGACATTTCACGATACTCAAGCAATACGTTGACTGAATTCCGTAATTCGCCCAACTTTCAATGTGTTCCATACCTGCTTATTTTCAGATTCACAACTAGACATAATCAAATCTCACTCTTGCATTTATCCGAATACCGTTCGTCACTTTGTCGTTTTTTATTCTTTCGAACAAAACACAAAATGCCACCAAAATGCAAGATTTCGTTTCGTTATCACTCGTGGTTTACTCGTTTGCACACAAATCGTTCTCTTCTATTGATGTTAATGAAAACTAATGTTTCACTCCATTCACTAGCAATACCTCGACTCAATGATTATCTAGATGATTTTTTTGTTATTTTTTTCTGATGGAAAATCAAGAATTTAAATCATTGCGTCGTCGTTTTTGTTTGATTACAAAAACAAATGGTCGTCGTCGTCGTTGTGTTGCACAAAAGAGAAATAAGATGATGATATGATGGGAAAATTATAAAAACGCGTGATGTAATACTAACTTTGACAGATCATGATATTTTTCGCTCCTTTCATTCCACCTTTGTACTCTTTTCATTTTATCGCATGAAGTTTGTTTTGACAGTTGTCTTTGCGCAGTAACTAATGCGAAACGATTCAACGCCGCGTTGAAAATCTATGGAATTCTATTGGAAGTGCGTTTGTCTTGGAAACAACTTGCCGTCTTGTTTGAAAATCGTTATCAGTATTTTTGGTATACATTCAACCCAATTGTTTCTATTGCATCTAAGACCGGTAAATTTTTTGATCATTTGATTCCAGTTGCACAGAACTCATTGGATATTTTCTTCTTCTTCTTCTTTGAATATTATTGTAGAAATATTTTAACTTCTCCTCGGATTCGAAGAAACTAAAAAAGGCTCCTTGATTTTCAATATAGCTATACTGCCGAAAAAAGGAAGCAAAACAGGGCAATAAAAATAAATTTTCGTCTTTATTACCTTTCTTCAGGTTTGACAATGTTTATAATTCAGTTTTTTGTGTTATTTTAATAATAGTTTTATGAACGCAAAGCTTATATGTCTAATATATGACTGAATTGTTCGCTATTTCATATTCAGACAAGTAAGTCAGTTTTTTTGCTTTTTCGATGTAACCCACAACTAAGAAGGTTGTTGCTATCAATTGTTATTGATTACGTACTGGTTAGGAAGCTATTATGATTTTAATGTAATGTGTGTGTGGCTAATAACTAGGTATAATATGGTAAAATTTCACTTTTCTGGGGTGATTTTTTTGGTTTGGTTTTTGCATCGCTCTCAAGGTGACTTATTATAACCAATGGATGTTTTATTCAGAAGAAAAGTGCCGTCACGGGCAAATACTATGGCGGGAACAATCGTTTAGTCGGAAGTTTAACTGAAAAAATGGGAATAATTATAAAGTTGCCAATGTGCCAAAAACCCATAAACAAGAACAAATATACAACTTTGGATCATTTGTTTATATGAAATAAAATTACCAACTCACTTTTTCGCCTAATTGATGTTTTCCTCAGAAAAAAGTGTGGTCACGGCTCGGAAATTCTGGCAAGAAAAATTCCTGACGGGAACAACCCAAAACCAGATAGTTTAAATGAAAAAATTGGGATGAACTATTAAACATTTTATCCGAATTTTAGAAAATTTATATTCGAGAACAAATTGGATGTTTTCATATTAAAATTATCGATCTAATTTAGATAATAAAAATACTTAAATGGAAGTAACAGTTGTGCCAAAAACACATAAACAAAAACAATACAGATCATTTGTTTCTATAACGGAATATAATATCTGTGAGAACATGGTATTTTTAAGACGTCCGATTTGAGGGCTGAGAATTATTTGAAAACATTCGTTACATTTTAACAACTCACTTCTTCGTCTGATGCTATTTCTTCTTTGTTCACAGGTTCACGTTTCATGTTTGATTTGAAATCATATTCGGCGTTATCATCACATCCATTGCCGTTGTACGATTTTTCAAATCTATGGGTGAGATTGAGAGTGGAGTATGTTTTTTCTTCGGTTTATATTTTTGAAAAGGCGAGTATGTTTTCTGATGATTCTGTTGGCGTTAAAGTAGAGTATGTTGTAGTACCGTCTAGCCTCCGCGGTCTTCATGGTTTTCGCGCAACTGATAAAAGATAACAACATAGTGTCTTCGGCAAAGTTGTAGTACTTGAGGTCTTCTATAACTAAGCTGAAGACAGTTATCTCTTATCTCTGATCAGTTGCGCGCAAATCGCGCACATAAAAAAGCAAATTTTATATAGAACTTTTTTTTTCTTATCATTTTTCGCGCTTTTCGCGGAACTGATAAGAGATAAGAGATAACTGTCTTCAGCGATGTTATAGAAGACCTCGAGTGCTACAACTTTGCCGAAGACACCAAGTTATTATCTCTTATCAGTTCCGCGGAAACCGTGAAAAACCGCGAGGACCCGCTAAAAACGAACATACTCGCTTTTAACCATTTTTAAGTCGACAGAAACTTGCTCTTCTCTTTCGTAACAAAGTCAATCAAACATACACTACTCTCAATCTCACCCATAGAAATAGCCTGCGGTGAACCATCATCGAATTCTATACAGTTTAAATGAAACAAAAAATGGGAAGAATTATTAAGAACTTATCAGAATTATAGAAAATGTACATTTCATATTCAGGGAGCAGACTTTCATATCGAAATTATCGATTTGATTTAGAGAATAACAACACTAACCAAAGTGTCAAAAATACCAATATACAACTTTGAATCGTTTGTATATATGACGAAATTTAATATCTGTGCGACATGACTAATCACCTTATTGAAAAAACGATTTCCTTTTATGTTTACTCGATGGTTCACAAAATGAAAACTATTAGTTTTTGGAAATGTCACAAGGCAAATGCTAGACCCCTAACGCCATCTATTGATTTTTGTAGAAATCATTAAAAGAACTGAGCTTCATGTCAAGTCTAAACCTTAGACTTAACAGTGGACTTGACATGAAACTCAGTACTTTACTTTAACTTAACTTACATTTGAGCTACTTAAACTAACTTAATATCAAAACGTCAAACCAAATGGTAGTTGTACTCGCTGTTGACGTCTATTGTATTTGCCTTGTGGGAAATGTATTCCAAAATTAATTTGCAATAATGTTCGAACGCAACACGATATGAAACAACACATTTTTGTTGGCCCGAGAATTATTTGAAAACTTTTGTTACATTTTAACAACTTACTTCGTTCACGGTTTCATGATTCGTGTTGGATGCACATGTGATTTCATTTCCGGTGTCATCATCCGAATCGTCCAAAATGCTGATTGTTCCGTCCTTTTCTTGTCGGTAGAAGGTAGTGAGCAATCCATTGCCATTGTACATCTTTTCGATGACGAAGTTAAACTTTTGTTCCAATTTTGCGGGATTGATTTTGTCACTGCCATTAGATGAGCAAACATGGCAATGCGTGTTTGGAATGGCTTGACCATATTTCTCTTTCAACTTGTCTCTTTTCGAACTTGTTGCGCCGACAAACGTTTTGCTACGGTTGATAGTAGCACCCAGATCTTTTGCGACGCCTTTCAAGAGATCGTAAAATGTCTTGACCATAAGACTTTCGATTCTTTGATCCCAATTTCCGTTGATCAATTCGCGTTGTTTGTAGTCATCGTAAAAATTTTCGAATGTGCCGGTACGAAATCGCCATGTGCTCGAGTATGCTTAGGTATGGACCAAGAAGATCACAATACTTGCACTTCAACAAGTATTTATCATCAATGTTTATTTTGTATTCGGGATAAACAAACAAAATGTACGACGAGAACTGCAGCAATTTGGTCAAAAACTTTGGACTATTTTGTTGGATTGCTGCATACAAATCATTTTCATTTGTATGATAATCAACAATGCACATCAATTTTAGTCCGACTTCGCATCGTTTTTCATGCTCCGGCAATATTTCCAAAACTGGTGCAAACGGACGTTTTTTCAGATGTGCAATCAACTGCCCGATCATTTTCTTTGTGCTGAATTTTTCACGGGAAATACGAATGAAATCTTGTTTCTCAAATTTTTTTAATGTCGTTTTGTCTAAATCGGGAGCAAAAACACAAACTTTGTATTGGAATTAATCGGCTAACACTGTAGTAACATTTTACACTTTTGAAATGTACGGTTCAACACAT